TTATTTTTCTATTATATTATTTTTAGACTTGGGAATATTATCAAGATTTTTAGTTCTTTATGATATTTTGTATGTGCAGAGTAGTTAATGAATTTGTATTGTATATTTTATTTATTTATTAAGTATAGCATTCTCTTAAATAATTTGCATATATTGTAAATTGTAAGACCTTAGATATCAAACTGATATAACCTCTATATCTGTATAGCTGGAGCTTATTATCGTTTACCGAATGCAGGGTATTCCCTTTAACCAGGTGTGATCATGACATTAGGTAATCGATTAGCCAGCAAGCGCAACTGTACATTAGTGGGAGGCGTGTTAACAACAGCATCAGCTGCCCCAATTACCTAGTTATGAACGCCCGGCCATATGTTAGCCTCCAATTTGTTGAGAAGGTCACCCACTGGCGCCTTATCAACGGGTTGCTAATTTCAAAGATCTTTACATGGGATGCTATAAATAGAGCTTTCGTTCGAACTGATTGATCAGCCGGCTACAGAGTTAATCACATAATGCTAAGCGCTGCAAAGGGCACAATTTAAACTTGGCAATATATACATATATACATTATATACATACATATATATAGTAGATTACGGATGCAAATCGGCGCATGTTATGGAAACATGTTTCTATGCAACCCTACATGGAATGCACTTGAGTGTAACGTCTATCTATCATCCGTTGCATCTCTGGTCAATGATGTTTTGACGACGGCATCGATCGACGATTTCCATTTGTCGCCAGCTAATGTCTCGACACATAGAACTATTGTGCCAATTATCAGTTATCAGCTAGCTCTGGCCCATATCAGCAAAAAGACAAGCTTCACGGGTGCAAGGGGTAAAGCGGTCTAGTTAATGCTAAAATCTAATTTCCTAGATTAAATCAATGTACATGGCTCAAGCATTAAGTAGCTCTTTTATTTGGGGGCATAGATTTTTATCAGGAAGCATTATATTTAGCTAGAAAAGCGCTTGATATATATAAATATATTCCCATATATAGTTGTGATCATGAAAATAATAGTTCTGTACTGTATATGGATTAGCCCTATATGTCTCCTATGTATATAAATAGAGTCTGATAGAACTTTGCAGATCAAGCCTTTAACATTCTTATATTCATTATATCCTAGATACTATCCATCAGTCCATCAATCCATATGTGTGTCCGTCCCTCCACCCGTCAATACATCTGTTTTTACAACCGAAAAATATTTCACTCCTATTGAAACTTAAATTTTAGATATTTTCATGATATTCTCGTCCTTTAAAGTGCTTAAATACATATAATAATTTAATAATAAATATAATATATCTTTT